TGAGCTGGACTGAGCCAGTGCTGCACCATGGATTCAAACCTAACTAACATTGTGAGACGGCACAGGATGGGCCAGGGTTCTGTTCTCTTGGACACCAGGTGCCAATGTGTTAGACTGCATTCGTCAGCACCTACCAACATTTCCTGAACATACCACGGGCCCTCTGACCTCCAAGTCCTTGCTCTGGCCCTTTCCCTACTTGACACATCTTTCCCTCTACTTTATTTCCTACTTCCCCCTGTACGGATACAGACACTCGAGGTCTCGACATTCCCAACTTGCTCCCACCTCAGAACTTGAATCTGTTGTCTCACTGGCAGGAATACTCTTGCCCTCGATACTCTCGTGGCTGGCACTGTCATTTCAATCAGGTCTCTGTTCAAACAATCTCGGTCCTCCTTCATAAAGCAGCTTACTCCCTGACACGCATTCTCTAGTGGTGCTTTTTGCCGGGGTCCTCCAGCGGAACGTCAATTCAATGAGGGTAGGTCTGTCTCAATCCCCATGGCATCCCCAAGCCTATTAGAACAGCCAGGCCTGGCCATCCTTCCATATTTATTAAGACAACAAAGGACTCACTCGGCTCCCCACTTTGGAGGAAGGAGCTGCTGAAAACCTTACACAGAGCTTCAAAACCCTGTCAGATACGGAAGGCCTACAGCGTGGAAACAGGACACCAGCAAAGATAGTGTCAGAGGATGTGCCCCTCAGGTTGAGGGCACTCCAAATGTGACTGAGGAGGGCCTGATTTCTCAGAGTGGAGGTGACCATGATGACCCGAGTCAGGTCAAGCCTGTGGGAGTGGGGCCTTCAGGATCTTCATTTGCAAACGGGGCACGACTAAGGTGAGGAGAAGCAGCTGCAACAATCTAATGATTGGAACCTGGACTGTACGAAGTACGAAACTAGGACAATTGGAAGTCATCAAAATTGAAATGGAATGAATTAAGATCGATATCCTAGGTATAAGTGCATGGAAATGAATCAGAAAATCATGTAATTTATTAGGCTGACAATAACACAATCAAGAGGACAGCGAGGCATTGTCAAAAAGGAAATTGCAAAATCAATCATCAAGTGCAATGCTGCCTGTGATAGGAGTATATCTGCCTCCAAGGAAATCCAATCAATCCAACTATTATTCAAATGTATGCACCAATCACAAAAGCTAGTGATGAAGATATTGAAGAATTCTATCAAAGACGTCAGTCAGAAGTTGATCAAACATGCAATCAAGATACATTGATAATTATTGGTGATTGGAATGCAAAAGTTGCAAACAAAGAAGAAATAGTTATTGGAAAATATAGACGTGGTGATAGAAATGAAACTGGGATCGCATGACAGAATTTTGCAAAACCAATGACTTCTTCATGGCAAATACCATTTTTCAACAACACAAAGGCAGCTAAGCACATGGACTTTTCCAGATGGGATACACAGAAATCATACTGACTAGATCTGTGGGGAGACACGATGGAGAAACTCAGTATGAACAGCTAAAACCAGGCCAGGGGCTGACTGGGGACCAGACCATCAGTTGCCCACATGTAAGCTCAGGATAAAGCTGAAGAAAATTAAAACAAGTCCATGAGAGCCAAAATACAACTTGAGTCTATCCTACCTCAATTTCAAGAACATCTCAAGAACAGATTTGAGGCACTGAACACTAATGACTGCACATGAGCTGTGGGAGGGCACTGAGAACATCATGCATGAAGAAAGGAGAAGGTTATTAAAAAAAAACAGGAGAGAAAGGGAAGATCAAAGTGCTATCAGAAGAGACTCTGAAACTTGCTCAATCACAGACGGGCGAAAGCAGATGAAAAGGATGACATCAAAGGGCTGCTGAATGGAACATTTCAAAGGACAGCTTGAGAAGGCAAAGCCAAATATCATAATGAAATGTGCAAAGACCTAGAATCCAAAAAACAAAAGGAAAGAGCATGCTTAGCACATGCGCAAGTTGAAAGAACTCAAGAAAAAAATTCAAGCCTTGAAAGGTTCTATGGGTAAAATATTGAATGGTGCAGGAATCATCCAAAGAAAATGGAAAGAACACTGAGTCACGTACCAAAAACAATTGATTGACATTCCATTATTTCAGGAGGTAGCGTATGAGCAAGAACCAATGTGCTGAAGGAAATTGTTCAAGCTGCACTGAAAATATAAGGCAAAAACAAGGCTCCAGGAGTCGATGGGACACCAACTGAAATGGTTCAAATTAAGGTGGTGATTGGGTAAATCTGCTGTACAAGACTCTTTCAAGTGTTGAAAAGCAAGGATGTTACTGTGAGGACTCAGGTGTGCCAGACTCAAGCCATGGCATTTTCAGTTGCCGCATCTGCAGGTGAAAGTTGGACACTAAACAAGGAAGACTGCAGAAGAGCTGCATCTGAATTGTGGTGCTGGAGAACAAAGTGCCATGGACTGCTAAAAGGACAAACTGACGTGGTTTAGAAGTACGGCCAAAGTGCTCCTTACAGACAAGGATGGCAAGACTCCGTCTCATGTACTGTAGTATATTGTAAGGTGAGGAGACCAGTCCCCAGAGAAGGACATCATGCTTGGTAAAGTGGAGGGGCAGTGAGAAAGAGGAAGGCTCTCCATGAGATGAACTGACACTGTGGCTGCAACAATGGGCTCAAGCATAGGAACAATTAAGGATGGCACGGGACCATACAGTATTTTGTCCTATTGTGCACACGGTCACTATGGATCGGAACCGACTCAACAGCTCCTAACAATAACAACATGTGCCAGGCCTGGGTGTCTGGAACACACGGGGAACAAAACAAAGGAAATGCCCTTCCCTTGAGGAGCTCGTACTCCAAAGGGGGAAGATAAGCAATACACAAAATACATATTTAAACTGTAAGTGCTGAGAAGAAAAACTTAAAAAGTTAAGGAAAGATCATCCAAGCCACTGAATCAATTCTGACTCATAGCAACCCTATATGACAGAGCAGGACTGCTCTCTAGGATTTTCAGGGATATAAATCTTTACAGGAGTAGACAGCCTCATCTTTCTTCCAAGAAGCAGCAGGTGGATTCAAACTCCTGACTTGTGGTCAGCAGCCCAATGTATAACCCACTCAGCCATAAGGGCTCCATAGGGAAGATACCCAAACTCACCAAACCCAGTGCCATTGAGTCCATTCCAACTCATAGGGACCCTATACAGTTTCCATGGTTATAAATCTTTACAGCAGCAGACAGCCTCATGTCTCCTGCAGAGCAGCCAGTGGTTTTGAACTGCCAACCTTACAGTTAGCAGTCCAATGCTTCCTAGGTGACTTTGAGTAAAGGCTGGGAAAAAGCACACAAGTCACAAAGATATTAAATAGCAAATGTAAAGGCCCTAATGCTGACATGTCAGAGAAGAGCAGCAGAAAGTGAGAGAAGAAAAGGAACAGTGGGCCAGGCTGTATAAAGCCTCTCGGCTCACTATTTATTATTAGTGCAATGGGGACTCCCTGAGGGTTTGTTTGTTTGTTTGTTTGTTTGTTTAGTAAAGGAGTGACATAATCTGGCCTGCTCTAAAAGGGTCCCTGTAGCTACTGTGCTGAGAACGGGGGGCCAGTGTAGAAGCAGGGAGACCAGTCAGGAGGCTATTTCAATCTTCCAGGTAAGCAATGACTTGGCCCAGGGTGGCAAGCAGTGACTGTGGAGTGAGACAGAAAGCGAGCAATCAAAGATAATGCTGCGGTTACTGGCAACTAGCTAATTTCACCGAGATGAGAAAACCAGCAAAAGGAGCCATTCGGAGAGGGAGATGGGGGGAGCAGATGCGCATCATTTGTGCGTAATCCACTTGAGTCCCCTACCAACCACCTGGTCAGACATCAAGTAGGCCAGCAGTTCTCAACCTGTGGGTTGAGACCTCTTTGGAGGTTGAACGACCCTTTCACAGGGGTCGCCTGATTCATAACAGTAGAAAAATTACGGTTATGAAATAGCAATGAAAATGATTTTATGGTTGGGGGCATCACCACAAATGAGGAACTGTAATAAAGGGTGGCGGCATTAGGAAGGTTGAGAACCACTGCAGTAGACCGTTGGATGAAGGTCAGAGGGTGACCATTGGGTGAAGGTCCAGCCCAGGCTTGAGATAGACATCTGAGCTCTGTTAGCCTGGTCCAGAGGTGCTCAAAGCTCCATGCCTGGATGATGAAAGCTTGCAAAGAAACAATGAAAAACCTCAAGCCTGAGAAACCCCTTGGCCCAAAATCTGGTCTGCATTAGGGGTGCTGAACAACCTCCGCCGAAAACAACCAAAAACTAGGGGCCTGACCCAGGGAACAAGGTATGCAGGAAGTGTTAACAGAGCTCCCTGGTTCCGATTCACCCTTCGAGCCCCTATCTTTTTTTTAAAAGAAGCCAGTGAAATCCAAGTATCGCTTTCTGCAGGTGCTGTAAGCCAAGAAAAAAACTGGCCAGCCCGAGTTCCAACCACCAGCATCTCCCGGCTTGCGGAGAAATATCCCCCTGAATGACAGTACAGAAAGAAGGCCAAGGGAAGCAGAGGCTTACAGAGGATTTAGGGGGTCTCCTTCCCTACCCAAAGATCCCCTTCTCTCAAGTCAATGCTTGCCAACAGCGTGTATCTCCCAAGGGCCAGTGAGAGATAAGGGGTGTGGGCCCAGAAGGGCACAAATCCAGCCAAGGATAAGCTCGTCAGGGAATCGGGTGGGGGTAAGGAAGGGGACGCGGTGCGCCGCGGCGAGGGCTTTACAGGGGGAGAAAAGGAGGCCCGGGCTCGATATTCAACCGAGAACCGATCAAAGGTAGCCCAGGGGCGCAAACCGACGCTACCTGGAGGCGCGGTGCGACAGGGCGTGTGTCTCAGCGTCAGGTGTGCGCTGCTGCCACGAGAAGAACGCGAAGGGTCAGCGGCCCTGGCTCCGAGCGTGGGGCCAGAGCTCCGCCGAGCCGTGCGGCCCGGGGTTCAAGGACAAGCCCCAGGTCTCAAGGACATTGACAGGGGGGGTTCCTTTTACCTGGCGCTGCAGCCGTCTCAGCTACTCAGGACCGGGCTGGAGAACGCGGCCGCCGCTTCTCGCGCCGCTCACCCGCGCTTCCTGATTGGCCGAGACTGGCCGTCCCAGAATCCCCTGCGGGGCGCGCCGCCGAGAGAACTTTATTGAGGCGAACAAGACTTGGGCGGGGCCGGGGGCGGGATGAAGGCGGGGCCGGGGCGGGGTGAAGGCGGGGCCTAAGGGGGTGGGCAGTCCCTCCCCTTGCAGCCGCGGCCACTACCACGTGTCTAGAGTGTGCTGAGCCGCGTGGAGACGATTCCACTCTTTCCTGCGCGGACTTCGTACGTCTTTCAAAGCGCTCGCCAAGTGCCAGGCCATATTCTAGGTGCTGGGGACACAGGGATGGCCATGACAGACCAGGCCCCGGAGTTCCCAGACTGGGAAACAAAATGTAAGCAAATACATAACTACCTTGCAAGAAGGGCGCTCACCTCAGGATTAAAGACATGTATAGAACGTTCCCGATGGACCCCCATTGCTTTGTAAGACTCAGTAGTCGGGTGAGGCTAGACGTTGTAGAGCCTTTTAAGCTATGGGAAAGAGAGAGAGATCTTGCAATGAGAATTTTAAGTCTTCCCGTTCCTCCAAACCATCGTCCCCATGGCCACGGTGGTCTTTCTGAAATGCCCCTCTGCCTTGAGCCCCTCAGGAGACTGTCAGCTCAGATGTCACCTTCCATGCTCAACAGGAGGCAATACTCACCCTGTGACATAGGGCATAACGGGCACTGCCCTCCACCCAAGTCTGCATTTTTTCATAAAGGGTAATTTACAATAAAATGTGCCTGCTTTACAGGTACTCTTAGATGCATTTTTAACCAATGTACAAGGAGATTTCAAAAATTAACTTCATTGTCTTTTAATTCCACTTTTCCATGAATGTTTCAAAGTTCCTGTGTATATGTATAACCATTGCTCTCCAAGGTATAGAACATTTTCGTCATGCTAAAAAGTTCCTCACTTTGCAGTAAGTCTCCTAGCCAAGCCCTCAAAAAGAAAAAAAAGTGGGGGGGGCAAGAAGAAAAGGGAAGTCACTGATTTATTTTAGATCATTATAATTTAGTTTTGTCTGTTCTAGAACTTCATACAAATATCGTATCTTTTGTGCCTGGCTTTTTATATCAGCATACATTTTTGGTATTCCTCCTTGTTGATAGCTGTATCAAGAGTTACTTCCTCTTTATTGCTAAGTAGCTCTCATTATTTAGATATTTATATTTTATTTATGCTCTCATCTACTGATGGATGTTTTGAGTTATTTCCAGTTTACATGTATTATGAATAACCTGCTATGAACATTCTTTTTGTGGGGGGGGTTGCCTATATATTTATTATGCTCCCTGGCTTTGTTCATTTGTTTGGTTTTTTAATCATTGTATTGGGGGCTTATACAACTCTTATCACAATCCATACACACATCCACTGTATCAAGCACATTTATACATTTGTTGCCATCATCATTCTCAAAACATTTGCTTTCTACTTGAGCCCTTGGTATCAGCTCCTCATTTTTCCCCTCCCTCCCTGCTCCCTACTGTGAACATTCTTGTACATGTTTTTATATGATGTATATTTTCATGATTCTTAGATAGATATCTACAAAATGAATTCCTAGGCCATATGGTAAATATACAATTAATTTCTTGAGAAACTGTCTAATTATTTTCTAAAGTGGTTGCACCATTTGACATACCCGCCATCAGTGATTTGGAATTTCTGTTGCTTTGTATCTTCACCAACACCTGGTGTTACTAGTTTTGGATTTTAGGGGATCTTCTTGTTGGTGGTGTTTTGAGCTGTCTGACTAAGTGTGTAAAGACAGGAAAGACAAATACTAAAGTGAATGTCAGAAGAAAATCTGATGAAACTTGCTCTTGCATGAGAGTAGCTAAAGCAAATGGAAGAAATAATGAAGTAACAGAGCTGAACAGAGTGTTTCAAAGGGCAGCTTGAGAGGACAGAGTATTGTAGTGAAATGTGCGAAGAACTGGAATTGGAAAGCCAAAAAAGGGAGAACACGCTGAGCATCTTTCAAGATGAAAGCAATGAAGAAAAGGGTCAAGCCAGGAGCTGTAACATGGAAGGATTCTTTGGACAAAATATTGCATGATGCCGGAAGCATCAAAGGAAGACAGTAAGAATGCACAGTCACTGCACCCCAAATAACTGATTGATAGTCAACCACTTATTTCATGAGGTCACGGATGATCTAGAACCGTTGGTAGTGAAAAAAGAAGTCAAAGCTGCACTGAAGGCATTGAAAAACCAGGCTTCGCTCTTTCCGCGGTCTTTCCGTGCCGCCATCATGGTGCACACGAACATCCTGGTCAACGCTCTCAAGAGCATCAATAATGCCGAGAAGAGAGGCAAGCGCCAAGTTCTTGGCAAGCACCAAGTTCTTATCAGGCCATGCTCCAAAGTCATTGTCCGGTTTCTAACTGTGATGAAGCACAGCTACGTTGGTGCATTTGAAATCACGGATGATCACAGAGCTGGGGAAACTGGAGTGAACCTCACGGGCAGATTAAACAAGTGCAGAGTGATCAGCCTGAGATCTGACTGCAGCTCAAAGATGTAGAGAAGTGGCAGAACAACCTGCTCCCTTCCCAGCAGTTCGGTTTCCTCGTGCTGACGGCCTCCCCGGCATCGTGGACCATGAGGAAGCCAGGCGAAAACACACGGGAGGGAAAATCCTGGGCCTCTTTTTCTAGGGATGTAATGCATCAAAACAAATAGAATGCCAAATGGGAAAAAAAAGAAAGAAAGAAAGAAAGAAAGAAAAACAAGGCTTCAAGAATTGACAAAATACTAGCTGAAACATTTCAACAGAATGGATGACTCGCTGGAAGCACTTGAGTCTATGCCAAGAAACTTGAAAAACAGCCCCCTAGCCAGCTGACTGGAAGGGGTACATAGCTGTACCCATTCCAGATGTAAAAATCATTAAAAGGATCATTAATATCAAATGCAAGCCCAATTTTGCTGAAGATGATTTTTTTTGAGTTGCTGCAGCAGTACATCAACAGGGAGCTGTCAGAAATTCAAGGTGGAGTCAGAAGAGGATGTGGCACCAGGAATATAATTGCTGATATCAGATTATCCTTGGCAGATAGCAGAGAATACCAGAAAGATGTTTACTGCTGTTTTATTGACTAAGCAACGGCATTTGATGGTGTGACAGCTACATAATCTCCTGTCAACTTGAGAGAAGGGGTGGAGTCTAGCCTGTCAATCAGATCACAGCCAATGATGTCTCTGTGTGGCCATGGCCTTCTCCTGAAGATTTTGGGAACTCCTGTCTTCTTCCCTGGAGGCGGGACACACACTCTCTCTGCTAGACATTCCTGTTGTCAAGCCACATGGAGCCACACGGATGGAGCCAGAGCTGAGCCATGGTGCTCGAGGAACTGCATGGAAACTCATGCCAGTGCTGAGATGCCTTCATCACTACTGGATCCACAAGACTTCCCACCCACTGGCCTGTGATCTTCCTGCATTCGGCATCATTGCATGTGTTGCGTGAGTCTGATGAGGAATTTATAGACTGGTATCAGACATATGGGATAATATTGGATTTATGGAATTGATCTGGACTGAACTGGGATGTTTTCTTAATATATAATTGCTCATTGATATAAAACTCTTTCTTATACCTATATGAGTGTCCCTGGATTTGTTTCTCTAGTCAACCCAGACTAATACAGATGATGTGGATCATAACAAGCTATGATAGCATTAAAAAGAATAGGAATTCCAAAACACTTTGTGCTCATGTAGAACCTGTACATAGACCAAGAGGCAGTGCTTGAAGGAGAACAGAAGCAAACCAAGGAATGGTGCATGATTTAATATCAAGAAAGGTGTGTGTCAGAGTTGTGTCCTTTCACCATATTTATTCAATCTGTTTGTTGAACAGATAATCCAAGAAACCAGACTATCTGAAGAAAATACAGCATCGAGATTGGAGGAAGGCTTTTTAACAACCTGCAATATACAGATGACACAACCTTGCTTGCTGAAAGTAAGGAGGGCTTGAAGCACTTGGTGATGAAAATAAAAAACCATATGTGGTAGTGATTGTACAACTCTTCTGATAGGATTGAACTATGGAATGTAGATTATGTTCCAATAAAACTGTTTAAGAAAAGAGAAAACCATAGCCATCCAATCTAGATTACAATTCAATGTAAAGAAAATTAAAGTCCTTACAGCTTGACCAATAGACAGCATCATGAGATTGAAGTTGTTTATATCTCCACAGGAGAAGAAGAGAGGGACCAGACTTCAACCCGGTGTGCCAAGACATGAATGTAAAATACCAGCATGAAGCAGGGAACGAACAGACAGGTCTGCAGGACCGGCCACAATCCCAACTATGTGGATACTCCCCCACCTCCTTCTCTTCCAGAAGAATGCACTACAGAGGA